TGCCAAAACAGACAAATGAAAATCCGTATTAAAATACGCGCGCTATATGCTCTGACGGATGCGACGTAGGAAAACGAAAACATCGTTTCCGTGTTGAGCAGATGAGAGAGAGAGAGAGAGAAAAATAGAAGCGAGTCGAGCTATAGTCGAGGTATTCGGCCGAAGCCGGAGAAGCGCGCCGGAAGTCGCGCACAGCTGCGTGTACGCGTTCCACGTTCGACGCCACGAGAAAATCAGTTTAACTCCCGGACGAACCTTTGCCGCCTACCATGGGCTAATCCCAGATCCGCAGGGAAGTTCACGACGGGGGTGTAAACCCGAGAATGTTGCGGCTAAGCCAACCCTCCCTCCCTCCCTCCCCCCTCGCCCCCTATCCACCTTCACCTCCTCAGTCACCATCGCATCGGTTGGTAGCGTTCGGTACGATACCTGCTGCGAGTCTAGGCCAACCTCCGGCTTATCCCGACGACACTCGTTCGATACCGTAAAAGCCTGCGCGAGGGGGTGGACAGGAAGCAAGAACGAAACGGAAGAGGATGCGCTGGGGCGAGAAGCGAGTAGGGGGCGGGGAGGTAGAGGGATGTTGGTGGTTGCAAGCTATCCTACCATCCTACCGTCCCGCCTGGCAGCCGAGGATCGCGAGAGACCCCCCGTCAAGGGATCCCATAAAATAGCTCGAGTAACTTTTTTACTTTATCATCCAGCGGTCCTCCCGCGAACACACTGTCGATATACCTGGGGGCCTCATACACACTCCACGTACCGCACTTCGCCACCGTGTGCGCGAGCTGCTTCCTCCAAGTGCCAGACCAAAGCACAGCGAATACGCGCGACACCTTACCACACCACTGCCGCTTACTGCATCTCGCTCGCCGTTATGAGACTTTTTTATTCCCGAGTTGTACAGCCGTTTGCTTTTCAGACCGACCGTTCGCATCGAACGGTTATTAACAAGCAGCCGTTCTTTTTGCGGCTCGCGGGATTTTTTCAATAGGATCGCAGTCGCAAATGCTAGCGATTACACCAACTGCCTGTATTTTATTGCGACGTGTTGTTCGATGTTTTTTTTAAAGCCGGATCATCAATTCAGACCAACCTTTGCGTCCACTCGATGTTTCCTTTGCAATCTATTTTTTCCAATCGATTGACGTTTAATACATTCTCTCTTTTTTTTTTTTTTTTCTTTTTTCGTCGCTAATACTCCCTCTAAAGTGTAATAGACTTGGTCCCCGACGAATTGAAACTGGCCCTGTACGTTTTCAAAGATCGAAATTTTGAAAAAAGGTGGAAATTAATTGAGGATCTAACGATGAAAACTACAGCGAGTCTACTTTTTCTCATGCACGTTAATTCTTTGTAACATTTTTCTTTTTGTAACAGAACCTCGGCGATCCTCGATCATCAGCGAGGCATCAACGATTGAAGTCGAACAGAGACGAAACGGGGCGAAATGAAATTCGAAAGTTTGCAGAAGGCTGTCGGTCGGATCGGTCTTTTCGCCTGTATCGATAGTAGGTCACTTTCCGCAGGATACGTTCCGCGTATCCGCCGAACATTCACCATATTTCTCTCTTTCAGTACCTCCCCAGCCATTTCGCTTCGGCTACTCTGTTTCGTCTACTCTGTCAATTACCAATAAAAAAAAAAAAAAAAACAGCGTAGGATGGGCACGAACGACCGTTCAGAAACGTAACGTAACGCAAACCAAACGAAACGTGCGTGCATTATCGCTGCACTCTGGCGCAACGATAAATAACGCGCGAGTCCAGAAAAAAAAAAGGAAAAAAAAGGGAGGCGTCGTTGCAGTCCGACTGAAACACGTTGGAAAAAACGCAGCTCGCGCTGTCCGAAACGTGCTGGGGAAAAAGATTTCCAGACGCGCTTTCCTCTCCTCGTTCTTACAAAACCCGTCATCGCAAATTTCCTCGGCGTCCTCCTCGTGTCGTTGCGATTCGACGCGAAAGATTTACCGTGTCTTTTCATTCCGCGGTTGCCGAGCGAACCACGTGGGAAATACGTTGCAATTCCCCAACTTCGAAAGCCGGGGCCAACGATTTTAGCCGTAACCGAGCGTCGTAAGGAACGGGCTGATGGAAAATTTGCATTCCCCTTAACCCGTGCTCGTATTTCTTGCGTGAAAGTTGCCTGCAGAGTGGAGCCGGCGTTACGCTCCCGGCGTAGGGAACGGCGAAGGAAAACAGAACGAAGGCACGTGAGTATATACGTACGATTTAATAGACACGAAGCTAACAGCATCGGCATCGCGTCGTTTCGTTACACGGAACAAGAACAAAATCGCCATCCAACTAACCAAACTTTTCGTTTTCGTCCGCGAAATAATCAACTGAAAAACTGTCGAGTCTGTAGATACAGTTTGGCTCTTTTCAGAAGTGACGAAACGAGAAACGTCGGCAAACGGAGAGAGATAGAAAGAGAGAGAGAGAGAGAGAGAGAGCCAGGAGAGTCACCGAGGAGAAACGGATAAATAGATGGATAGACAGGGAGTCGGCATGCGGCGGCAGAGCTTTCGCTCCTGCTACCCTCGAGGATGATTTTTCGAGGACGCGCGACAGCAAACGAACCTCCGAGGAAATCTTCCCGCTCGACCTAGGCTATTTCCTTCTCCGCGACACCCAGACAGGACAGACAGGACGGATTTGCATTAACTATGGATTCTGCTCGTCCTCCGCGCGTCCTTCTTTCGAAACCTTCCCTCTCGCGCGGTTGTCCTGTCCTCGCCGTTTCATCTTTCGCCTCGCGAAACCGTTTCCTCTTGGCGAGCGTGTCTCTTCTTTGACCGTCGATCAAACGAGACGGTTATCTTCCTATCTGGCAGGCCGATACGTCGAAACGCATGTGCCATTCAAGCGTGCCACAATGTGTGTGTGTTACTGTGGCAACTCAAAGTAACAACGATCGTTTTCTTCCTTTTCTGCATATCGAGACACGTCGACTCGAATTATTGAACAATCGTTTATCGTTGAGGAAGTACCTCTCCAACGAGCGTCCGTCTTGCGTTCGTAAATTTTGAACGATTTTGAACGTCGGCATTCAGTCACCGATATTGCTGACTGTAAGAAACAACATCAGCCGTTCAGAGTCGACAATTGGAGAGCTACGAAGACTCGTTTCGTTATCTGGTCGAGCCGATCTCTCGGATCAACAAAATCGCGCGATGCACGTGAGGATAACCAAAGGATCTCCCGCTCGCGCGCGGTATTCCCCACTTAGTGTGGCTGGCGCGCATTATCGACGATTCAACTTCTGGCAAACGGAGGATCTCCGCGTTCACCGATTCCGAGTCGGAATCAGAGATTACGGTGTAATTAATTGCCTAAAATACGAGGGATATGTCATCGTCATTTCGGAGTCAGCATAAAGCGTGGCTGAATTAGCGAGTATCGAGGCGACGGATTACCGTGTAATGAGCGCGATTACCATGCAACTCGAGTCAATGGTCGCACGCGATTTATCATCGAATCGAAATTCGACTCGTCGGCAAACGGGAGTCGCCGTCACTGGAAAGAGACGGATCGCAGTACTCGGGCAGCGTCAAGTTCGACGCAGCGATGCGACAGGGCAGGGGGTATATAGGACCACGAAGCGTTCCCCCTGGTCTGTCTCGTCGTGTTTAACAGTACGCAGTCTTAGAGTCCATAGAACCGGTTGGCTGTCGCTTCTCTCGCGACTCGATCGATTTCACGTCGTTGCGAATCGGTCCCTTCGAATTTCCTTCGTCGATGCAATCCGCGCGTTCACGACGACGCGAGACGCGACGTACACGCACGTGTTTTCTTTTTTTTTTTTTTTTTT